CTTAATTCGTATTTGCCCATGTCTCATGAGTCTTTGCACATCTTTATCTCAGTGCAGGAAATGTTCAAGAATTCCAGCAAAGTCTCACTCGTATAGCAGCGTATAGGTCTCACCACTCTTGTACTTAGCATAGTTTTTTCGGAGACTATTTTAAAAAGTATTACTGCATCTTCATTGTTGTGGACAGATCTTTTGCAGCACCTTTGAGATAAAATCTTTAAACATCCAACTATTAAAGTTTCAATCACCCGATGATTCAAGTTTTCATTACTAAGCAATTGGCACTTAAAACTTTAAGTGCTAACTACTTAAACAGCTAAATGCAATCCAAGGGAAGATGTACCATTAAACACACCTGTAAAAACCCACCAGGGTTAAAAACTAGAGAAATAAGAAGGTTAGTTTAGGTAAACAACACTGACACCAAGGCTGACATCCAGCTTACACACACAAGCCTGTTATTAAAAAAAATAAAAAAAATCTTATGGGCTAACAAAGAGCAAAAGGACCCAGTTTGGAAAAGATTTACATGTTAGCTTAACCTCTCGCACTGCACGTATTCAGCATGTAAGGCTTTGAAAGACTGAACTCTTGATTGATTTATTTTAATTTGAGGAAACAATTCAAAGTTCCACCCAAGGCATACATTTTCAAACCAGAAAGGACTATGAGATCCCCATGATGCACCTACCACAAGCTGGTAATTTGAGCTGGCACTGCCTTCTCTCCTCTTGTCTGGTCTTTCCTTTGACTTTAAAGGGAGTTAACAGCAGAATTGCAGTGTCCTGGGTCAGACCCCAGGTCCAGTGTCACACCTTGGGCTTGGGTCCATGTCCTGCAGCTGCACAGGAGGAGGCCCGTGTCACACAGGGGCAGAGAGCGGATGCTGACAGGGAGGGTGAACTGGGTAAGAGCAGGGTTTTTTTCCCCCCCATCTCCTTGCAGCCCCCAGCCTTTGAGGCCCAGGAAGTCCTGATTCCAGTGTTGCCAACTCTCATGATTGTTGGCATTGTTCTTAAAGTCTGTGCCTCGGGAATGTGAAAAACTTAGCTCTTTCTTGTATATATGCATATAAAAGAAAAAAGCTAAGGTTTTCACATTCCCAAAGCGCAGGCTTTAAGAACAATGCTAACAATCATGAGTTGGCAATGCAGATTTCCCTTGCTTTATGCGGATTCTGTATGTGCGAATTTGCTCTTATGCGATGTCCCTTTTTATGCCAAAAATGTGTTATATGTGAGGTAAATTCACTCTTATGTAATCAGTGTGGTGAAAGCCTGTAGCCAGCTGCTTTGTGTGGTGCATTGCAGGAGTGACACGAACCAAAATATAGTTTCCTGTGTGGATCCGTGCTCCTCGCTCATTATCTGCGACACATGTTTCTGTAGTTGTCATCCCCAAGATGGCTTCTAGGTGTCCCGCTAGCTTACCTCCTACCCCTCTCCCTGGTCCGTCAATGGCCATCACCATCTTTTCTTCACAAAACTAAACATTCACCACCACCCTGTGCGTGCGTGCATTGTCTGCTGTTGGCAAGTACCAAAACTGTCTTGTAAAAGCAGTTGAAATGGGCCTGAGGGAAAGTACAGTTGAGGTCTTAGAGCATATCCCTGTTGGTTACATTGTAAAGTGGCTTCCCTTTACATGAGTTTGAGTTATCTATCATTTTCCAGGAACTATACATTATCCTCCTGGCACGGGGATAGTACCTGCCAAGGTAATGTATAGTAAACCTCCCACTTAGCTGCTGGAGTGGGAAGGTCTTGGCTTTACACCCACTTTATGGAAAGGGGAGACTTCTCCCTAGCTTGCTCCTGCGGCCTTATGGCTAAGGGCAAGCGAAACTCAGGAGCATCCGAACACCAAGCCTGCAAGTAGGAGGCCTGCCAAAGGTTTTGGAAACATCTAAAGCCCCAGATGGGGTGGAGGATGTTTGCCAGTAGTAGGAACACTTATGGTTCTGGACTCTCGCATTTGGAATTCATTTTGGCTAATTTGGCCTGGAATACTTAAAATTAAAACAAACAAACAAAAACCTTGGCCTACTGAAGGCTCAGATCAAGCGTAGTCTATTCTTGCCTAGCAAGGGAAACACCATGACCACGGAGGCGGTCTTCCTAGCTGCACCGGGGAAGACCGCTCTCCTGGCACGGGGATAGTACCTGCCAAGGTGATGTATAGCGAACCTCCTACTCAGCTGCTTGAGTGGGAAGGTTTTCATAGATTCATAGTTTCAGCTTTCATAGATTCATAGGTCTCCACTTTATGCCCACTTTATGGAAAAGGGAGACTCCTCCTTAGCTTCCCCCTGAGGCCTTACGGCCGAGGGTAAGCAAAACCGGGAGCATCCAAACCCCAAGAAGCATTCCCTCTAAGCTGCGTGGCATGCCAGGGGTGCGCCTGCATGGCCACACAACTTCAGAGGGAATGCTGACCCCAAGCCTCCAGGCTTGGGCTTGCACGTCTGATGCCCACCAAAGCATCTGGAAACATCTGAAGCCCCAGATGGTGGTGGAAGGTGTTTGGTGTTTGCGGGTACAGCTTACCCTCACTTTATGTGGGTTCTGTATGTGTGATGACTCTTTTTATATAAAAAATTTGTTATATGCAAGGTAAATTCACTCTTATGAAATCAGTGTTGTGGAAGTCCACAGTCAGCTGCTGTGTGTGGTACATGGTGGGAGTGACGTGCACAAAAATATAGTGCACAGATCTGTGCTTCTCGCTTGTTGTCTGTGACGTGTTTCTGTAGTTGTCATCTCTATGATGGCTAAGTGTCCTGCTAACTTGTCCCCTACCCCTCTCCCTGGTCCATCATCGAAGGCTTCACCATCCTCTCTTCACACCAGCTAAACATTCACCACCACTCTGTGCGTGCGTGCACTGTCTGCTGTTGGCGAGTACCAAAATTGTCTTGTAAAAGTGGTCAAAATGGGTCTTGGAGTATCCCTATTTGTTACACGGTAAAGTGGGTTCTCTTTACGCGAGTTCGAGTTACGCGCCGTTTTCCAGGAATGCGTAAAGTGAGGGAAAACTGTAGTATGGCTCCACCTCTCAGATTGGGACTTCATTTGGGCAGACGTGTCTTAGATTAGAGAAAATTTAATAACCCCTCCCAACGTATCAAAACATTTTATGCACCGTTTCCCAAGAACACGTAAAGCAAGGGAAACCTGCAATATGGTTCTGCTTCTGGGATTTGGCATTTGTTTGGGCCGATTCATCTTGGATTAGGGAAAATTTAATTTTAAAATAATTTACTTGCTGTTTTCCAGGAACGCACATACCACATAAAGAGAGGGAAACCTGTAGTACGGTTCTACCTCTCAGATTTGGAATTTGTTTGGGCCAATTTGTCTTGGATTAGAGAAAATTTAATTTCCCCCCCCAAAAACCACCCCAATATATCAAAACATTTTATGCACCGTTTCCTAGGAAAACACGAAGCAAGGGAAACTTGCAGCGCGGTTCTGACTCCGGGGTCTGGCATTCGTTTGGGCGGATTCCCCTTGGATTCGGGAAGATGCAATGTAAAAAAAAATAAAAATAAAAGCCACCCCCCTAGGTCTGAAAGCGCCGGGCCGGGCGGGCGCAGGCAGCGGCGGGGCCGGTGCTCGAGGCCCGCGCGTGCGGGCGGCTCTGCGCGGGGGGA